CACAGAAGCCCTGAACACTCCTGCTACCAAACCTTGCCATGTAAACCCAATACAGTCATATACATCACCACACAGAAACAGAACAAATACCATCCCAGTGTAAGAATGATTGCCCACACAGATTCTTGGCTTCTCACAGAAGAGCCTTTCACACAAAATCCAATGTTAAAGGCTCAATGAAATCCTCTTTGCATTTCTCCCTCCTTCAGGGCATAACATTGCTGAAATCTCCTCTTTCATCTGACATTGAATAGCAAGGAACCCACTACATTTGACGTTAATGGGTACGGCTGTGATTGATTACTTGTATGGGATTTCATGATGAGAACAGAACTTTGGTCCCCTGAGAACAACTGCTCTACCCAAATAAACTTGTCATTTTATATTTTTATGTTCTCACCTCTCACGAAAATGTAGAACCTACAGCTAAAAATAAGAGCAACAGATACCCATAGTATAGGATTCCATACCCTAGCAAGTCAAGGATAAACCATTTCTAAGGCTATAGACAGAATCATAAAGGAAATGTGCTGGGCTTAATTCCCTGGTAATTACTGATTCATGACTCACTGTCCTGGGGTATATTTGTGCTGGTGTAGACAGCTGATTCACAATCTATTCTTCACTTATGTATTACTATTTTGAGCAATCAGAAGGAACTTAGATGGCACAAAAGCCTTGGGGACTGAGAAGAATATCAGCAGAGTCAGAGGAATGCCAAACTGCACTACCTCTTCGTCTCGAGGATTACACGTAATACTCCACTCTTTTTCAAAATGGACTTGATGTATAAAAACAATTACATACCATGTGGTGTTTGCTTTTGTAATGTGGCTGTGATATATCTGATCTCTTTGCATTCCCTCCTACAAACACACCTCTAACTGGAAAAAGTACTCATAAAGGATGGGTACTATAATATCACTTAAACAGAAATCATCACATTAGGGCAATGCTGCATGGTTGGTCACAGTTTGTATGCAGCAGTAGAACTGTAATCAAAGTCATGATTATCAAAGTTTCTCAGTTTTGCTCAAAATTAAAACTTTCCACATTCAAAAATACAAAAAAAAAAAAAAAAAAGACTTGAATCTTTTTAGCTACTATTTATACAGTAAGAAAATATTTTCTAAATGTTGATATAAAATGATCTTTTAGTTACAGTGTGACTTAGCATTAATTTTATTAACCAGTAAATCCACATTTCCTGATTTTTCTTTGAAATATCAGAAGATTTTTAATCAACAGTTTCTTTTCAGTACTTCCATATTTTCTGAACAGTATTTCTTCTATATTTTGATTTTCCAGTTCAACTTGAATGACAAATCAATCAAAAATAAACAAACTTCTATAATATATCTGGTTTGCAATCATATTTAAATCTATCTGTGGCCTTACAGCTCCTTTGTTTTGTTTGTTTTTAGAATAGAATAGTTTCAGTTGGAAGTGACCTTCATCATCTAGTCCATGATCATCTAGTCCAACTGCCTGACCACTTCAGGGCTGACCAAAAGTTACAGCATGTTATTAAGGGCATTGTCCCAACCCCTCAAACACTGACAGCCTTGGGGCATCAACCAACTCTCTAGGATGTCTGTTTTGCCTTCTAAGATGGTAAGAGAAGACAAACTGCTATGAAGGATTAGTCAACTTTCCTTTCCAAAAGAATAAATGAAACATATTAGGAAAATGGCTGGGAGGGGGTAAGAAAATGCCACACTATATCATAGATGGGAAGATAGCATTCTGTGTTCCTAAAATAAAGATGGAAGTAGACACTTTCCACTGATACCAATAACATTTCCATGAAAGACCAAATTCCATACATTAAATCCACAAAGATACTTAAGGGATGATCCAGAAAAGAAAATGAAGCCTAGAAGATGTTTCTAATACATTGCTTATAAACCTACAGTATAAGATCTTAACATAAACAGTTTAAAATACTCAGCTTCTACTGAACCTCCCTTAATATAAACACATAAGACATACCATTAAATTAATTGCATTTAGATTTTCACTGAGTAAAAATAATGCTTCTTTGGGAAATGCATGAAGATCTGGCTGCTGCTAGAGGCACAGGAAAAAATGTTTTCACAAAGCACAGGAAAATATTATGACTGATAATATTTGTAGTTACCAGGCTGAAATAAAAATCTTAGGCTATATTACCAACCTCAGTCGACTGAAATCAAATAAGAAACATCTGCTAAAGATCTGTCCAGTGAAATGTTCTTGGCACAACCAGCCTGCATCAGCAAGACACATGCCCTCATTTACAGTGAGATGTAAAATTAGGTTGAATTCATTTCACTAATCTTTAGCACATCAGATGCTATATATTGTCAAGAAAATAATACAGGACTTAGTGTCCTAATGGTCAAGGTATGACAAAGCCCATATTCTTCCAGCTATTGAAAACTATACAAGTACTTGTTTCTATCTAGCACTTAGATAACTTGGGTGATGAAGGCCATAAAGCAGTGGAAAGTTTCATGTAAAGACAGACAAACTTATACTGGAAGACCATCATGTCCAACCCTCCACTCGCAGCAGATTCTCTGTATATTGCAATGTCCCATATGATAAAAGTAAGAAATATTTATGTATATTTATATATCTTTACATCTAAGGAAGCCTAAGAGAAGGATCATTTGATACTGAAGAGACACCAAATATCTGCTCCCAAATCATTGCTGTTGCTGACTGATACAGTTCTTGAGAGAAATCAGAATGGTCTATATACAGAAAAGGGGAAAACAAAAACCTAGAAAATATCAAAAAATTTCCAATGGTTATAAACATACAGACTCTTAGAATTTATTATTCTTATCTGAGGGGAATGTGATTTTTACGAACCATGTCTTTGAAATGCTACATGGCAGTTATTCCTATCAAAGCTCCAGGACACTTCCCTGATTGTGTCTGAATGATATAAGGAATACTGAAACACATAAGGGTACTGAAACACAGCAAAATAGGCTTAACATTAAACACGCACTTTCTGGCTTTAATTCTTACATACAAAAAACATTGACAGATTGAGTTGGAGAAAAACTGACACATATTTCAGTGGTATGTAACGTTCTTTATTATTTAAGTGTGGCAAATATACCGAGACTCAGATAAGAAAAACACCATTAAGTAAATCTGAAAGAGACAGGCTTCCACTGTTCTTTCTTACCTGGCAGTGACTTTGATGGTTGTCAGACTTAATGACTATGAAATTTTTTTATTGATTAAAGATAGAGAGCCACATGCCCTCCTGATTTACACCCTGTATAATCTTCTTAAGGAAAAATCGGGTTTAAGGCAGACATGACACTTCTGACCTACTGCGTTACTTCTAAATGATTACACCCTTCCATGTGGCAGTTAAGAGATCTGTAAACCGCATCGTCTGTGAAACTCTAGCTGCAGTGTAGAAATAAGTTCTTCAATAAGGCTGTATTTTGCAGGAGCAACTAAGAAGAAAGTGTCAGGCTGACTCAAGTATCTCAGCAGAAAAGTTTGAGACAAAGTGGAGTAAATCAGATGGGTGCTGCTACAAAGCAAACACTGGCTGGTTTTCTGAAAGTACGGACAGTAAGCATGTTGCAGATTGAAAAAGAGGCCCTTGGAAATGTAACAAAGCTCCCTGGATATGTCCAGGGATAATTACACCAACACAGCATGAGGGCAGGTTATGTCACATGCTCTCAGCTATTTTGAACAGGGTTTAAACATGTCAATGTGCCCCTAGCCTGGGTCACAGTCTCCCCCCTGTCCAGCAGCAGCAGTACACATGCCAGCACACCTTTAGACTTGCCTGATTCCATTTTAGGCCAGTGGCAAATGTACCTGTAGGTACCATAAAAGCTCTGTGTGCTTTGTAACCTCTACACCAGCAATGTAAGTAGTTTTAGGTTTTGTTGGTTTTGGTTTTCACTGAGTATGTCCAGGATGAGTATCTATTTCAACTCAAGAGGAAAACAACTACCTGAAGAACAAGAAGAATCACATCATGAATGCCAAACATATTGAAAGTCTTGCAGCCAAGATCAGGTATATCCATTTCAATACTGGCGACACCACTAGCACACCACAAAAATATTGCTGAGAGCCAGAAATGGCTTCATAGACATATGAAAAATTATACTTTATGCCACTGACATGGATCAGACTCATTCTAGAACTAAAATCAAAAGTTATTTAGGGAATGAAAGTGTCTAGGGTATTATGACTAATCCTATAATAAAAAAATACAAATTATTGGTAATGATACAGTTCTGCAAAGTCAGTACTTAAAACACTGAACTAAAAAGTGAAAGGGGGAATTCTCTGGCTTTTTCTATAGAAATGACATAAATGTTGAGCATGCAAATTGACCATTTTAAAATATAAAATTAATTAAAGCACTATCAAAAGGTTAATTTTGGTGCAGAAGTTACATATTTTTCAAATTAATTTCATATGTATAAAAGACACTGACTTATTCGTCCAACATTTCGTCAACCTGCTTAAATCACTTCTTAAACATTTTGAGAGACTGAAAAACGTTTGAGCTGAAAGTGAAATCATCTGATATATGTGTACTCGATAAAGTCATATTTTTCACCTATTTCCTTAATAGTGTAAGTTTATATATGACTCCAGTTAATAGGTACGATTCGACCTCTCTTAAAAAAATATTATGGATTTTCCTCTCCAAAAACACTACTCTCCTTTCTAAAGATCAATTCCACCAGTAAAATGAAAAGCAATTTCATTGGACATTATAGCCCTCTTTAAATCTTGGGCTCCACAGATCCAGACCTATAACCCTTATATGTGCTGACACTTGGTATGATCACTAGCGTGAGAATGAATTTGCAATAGCAGATGCAGCAATGCTGACATAATCTACAAAAGACGCCAAGGCTCATACTGTCCCCATCAGTATGTCTGGAAACATCTTCCTTGATTAGAATGAAATACTTTTGCTGTTCTTTTTTTTTATTTGAAAAATAAAGACTTCTTACCAAAAAATATGATCTTTTGAAACTCGTTCCTGCAGAAGGATCCACTTTTTCCCCAAGTCAATGGATACATAAACCTACAAAGAAAGAACAACAAAATAAAGATGATAGGAAAATGTTAATGTTATACATCATCAGAGACAAGTCCTATGTCACTATCAAAATGACAGATTTCACACCAATAAAAAAAGACCAAACAGACAAACAAAACTCATTACCAGGAACTCTCGCTGACGTTTTTCAGAGTAACAACCTTTCATAAAGAATATTTGTTTTAAATATAATCTATAAGAAGCAAAACACAGTGACAATGTCTTCTTGTTTACCATGAAAATAACTCACAGTTCATTTTGGGTCTTTGTTTTTTTTTGACATTTGAGTCTTCATTTTGAGATTCTTTTTACCTCAGCACAGTTATACAAAAAGTTACACCTTCCTTCTCCTTCTTCCCATTCATTAACCAAACAAGCACAAGTGTTCCCTTTATGCTTCAAGCCTTAATTCCATCAAACACACGTAAACTAGAAAGTCAATGGATATCAAAATCTGCTAAAATAGGACCAAAAGATATTAGAGAAATGATTAAAAGATTTGATGGGGAGAGAGGCACTTAAGGGCTTGCTTCATGGATACCAATTTGTGATCTGTTGAGAAATGGTCAGTCAGCAGTGAGGGACAAGATGGCCTGGAGGAGGAAGAAGACTTCAACTCGACCTTCCCTCTAACCAAATGCTAATGACATGGATGGATATCCATGCAAAATGCAGATGAAAGCTGTTGTCCCCCAAAATACAGAGGAATATAAAATAGCTATTAAAAAATCTTCCTCCTTCAGCATCTGCCTTCCTTTAGTTTCCTTTAGTTAAAATAGGAAATATCTATCAAACTTCTAAAATGATAGATTTAAAGCCCCCTGCTGTCTGCAAGCATTTCTTATCTGATCCAATTTACATATGATGGGTTTTCTCTTAATATCTCTAATAGGCAAAAAGAAAAAAAAAGGCAAGTAAAACTGTTCTCTGCAGTGGGAATAAGTCACCAGTTCAGTCACTGATTGTACCGGGGGAAAGTGCCTTATGAGGACTACTGAGGAGTGGTTTTGGTTCAAAATGACAGGTTCAGTGACAAGACACTACTCTTCACTCCCCAATACTACAGAAAACTGGCAATATTAATATGTAAAGATAAAGGCTGAGGTAGCTTACCATAAACTCTATGGGTAAATTAACTAAAATTAGAATTGGAGATAAGCCAGTATTTCTGTTACTCTGCACTTTACAATGGCTGGGCTTTGCTCCACCGCACACTCAGTTAAAGCAGGTAGACCACAGTTTGAGTGAGGAACTGATCAGGACTCAGACTGCTTACTTAGCATTCACCCAGTCAATGCCTAGACAGAAGCGATCAGGGATCAAAAGGTTTTCACCCTCAGAGCTAAATGCTTTAACGACGAGGATGCAGAGCTCAAATTACTTCCCCTCACACACATTTAAGACTGAAGTGTGGGAGCTTATGAATGAACAGTTTGCATTTGTGTAGAGGGAAGCCCATGCAAGCTATAAGGGAGAGTGAAGTAGGACTAATAAGGTATATTCAAACTGAGAATTTTTAACTGATGCAGTATTTGAAACTAATAAAAAATAGCATATAACTAACCTGCACACATTCAACTTCCTGCAATTAAAAAAAAATACCCATAGGTCTTTTGGTTTTTAACAGATACATATGATAAAACTAGTAGATGAAATTAGATATGAGATGAAAACAGTTATATTGGTAGACAGATAACATCTCTGGCTTCAGCAAACATGTTTATTAGATACTACACTTCTGTTTATTATCACCCACATAATAAATGTGTGTTTTTAAAAACCTGAAAATGCTTTTCTCAGTTTTACCATTTAGTCATCCTTTCAGCTTCCAAATGAACAATTAACATCTACTGCATCCTTGTTGAGTTTTAAAAATAATGTAGAAGCACTTAAATAGACTCAGTGAATGGCTGATTGTTACTCATTATAACTGACAAACTCAGAAAAAGGGAGTATAGATTTGAGGCAGTAAACGGATTAATCCAACCATATTGACTGGATTTGCATTCATTCACAGTGTCAGCTAGAGGCTAGAGGTTTATTTAAACAAAATTAGGTTCTGAATGGAAGAACAATGCATATTTTGCAGTATAAAATAAGCCCTAAATCAGTTCAGAAGTTGTGAGAAATGCTGTGATGCTCCAGTAGACAGAGAAGCCTTGCTGATTGCTATTTATAAAAGATGTGATCTTGTACTCCTTGTATTCTCAAAATTGACTCTGTAAGAAATCATTCGAGTAGCAGGAGGTAATGGCTACTCCTGAGTTTTAGATTGTGGTACATCCTGATACTACTTTCTCCCAGTGAAAGTAAAGTTACTTAACACAAAACTCTAGACTATACTATCTCCCTAGGCCAAATTCAGATCAACACTCTCAAGACCATTGATTTTAGTACGGTGACTTTTATTGTTATGTCAAATTGCAATTCTGATTTTCAGCTCTTCCTTTGCCAACATCATTTCATCTTCCTCTCCCTTCTAGGCCAAATATATTAGATCTTACACAAAATGTAAGCAGGTTACTAACCCAGTTATCATTAAAGGCATCCTTCATTCCTACACATCTTACATAAAGCTGTAGGACTTGTCCAGTAAGTCTTTGTGATTGATTCCTTCTAGTGTCATATTGAAAGCCTGAGTAGAGTCCAGCAGATTACCTAACCCTTCCTGCTACTCCTGCAGAACTATTCTTTACTGAATATTTTGTAGTGTTTTTTTTGTCCACTCACATTTTAAGTTTGGCAAATAACAGCATCACTCCTTTTGGAAGATTATAAAAGCATAAAATGCCTGAAAATCTCTTTAACATGCATAAATCATCAAAAAAACAAAGCAAATGCTTCACTTCATGCGTCTGCCTCCTTCTCTTTCCTGGCAAAAATTTCTAACCACTTGTTATGGGGTGGTCAACTTCTTCAGTACAGTTCTTTTGACTCATACTTAAGATTCTGCCATTCTGTAACTATATAGAATTCAGGAGTTATATATATCATCAGAAACAAAATCCAAATTGAAATAAAAAAGGTTGTCATAATATAGGCTTTTCATAACGTCAGGCTTCCCTGAAGTATTTTGTTTACATAACATGCACCCAATATACTTTTAGTTGTGTTAGGGTTTCAAGTTGAAACTGCTAAGTAAAATACTTAATGTAATTTGTGACTGAGCTGTGTTTGTTAAGTATTTTACTGTAGTTCTATCCTTATTTGCAAATGCCTGTAAACATGAATTGTTCTGGGCTCAGCTATTAACTTATATATCCCAGAAAACATCCTAAAGGATAACTTGATATAACATGACTAAAAACAGTGCAGTACTTGGCTGCAGCATGAGCAACTGTCTCTGACTAACCTCACCACCAAAATATGCACATTCTGTGAAGTCTGACAAGGATTAATATGGACTACAGTTTACTAAGTTCAGTTTAAAACAAGAGAAACAACGGAGATGAGTCAAGACCATTGTCAGGACCAGAATAACAGTGACTAACAGCTGCAGTTTTGGCACTATGAAAGAAAGATGAACTGCACGTAGACTGTGCACACTCATCAGTGCTTAGCCTAACCCACCCAGGAAAATGACTTTACAATTTTACCAGAAGAAATCTGGTTAAAACTTACAAACATGCTGACTCCTGAATCTGAAAGCAGCAGAAATACCTCATAGGAGAGAGAATTATTTTACATTTCTACAGATTAACTGTTTCCCCAAATACTCTGCTGCTGTTCTACTGTGCAGTTTAGTTTATATTACTTTATTTTACATTCCATGAATGGCCTTTGGAGGCACTATTTCAGCTTCATTAACTTTCTACTACACTATAAATTACAGGGAAATTGCTTATGGTCACTTTCTAGGGAGGAGCACATTTCAGAAGTACAACTTAATATTAAGCAGGAGGATAAGTATTACCAATATCCATATCAGCTGAAAATGCCAGAAGTGAAATTACATTAAAAACAAAGATTTGGGCATGAAGACAATCAATATTTAAATAAGCCTCAAAACCAGTATATGATTCCCTTCTGGACAACTGATTATTTCATAAAGCATAATACTATTCAGCATATCAAAAACTGCTTTATATCTCTAACTAAATAATTCCTAAATTTCAGAACAAATGCAGTATCTTCAAGCTTTACCTTGCCATCCTTGGTGTAAGCAAGTACTTTATCTTCTTCTTTCGGGTGAAAAAGGAGAGTTTCCACAAAGAAAGTAATGGGTTGCTTCTGGAAAGTGGCTCCTTCATCCGTGCTTATGAAAAGGCTTTGGTCACGATCATTATGGGAAGAACTTACAAGAATTATCTAGAAGACAAGAATGACAACATACATTCAGAAGACTGTTTTCTCTATGACATCAGAGCTTTATTTTTCTTGTGTAAATGTCAGATTTTGTTCATACCTTACCTATCAAAACTCTGTGGACAAGAAACTGAAAAGCATGTAAGAGATAAGGACTGCAAGATGCTATTAGTCTTTCCTCATCAAACCTGTGAACGTTAAGGTTTGTAATTTCTCTTGCAAATCACACCAAATTGATCATGCTCCTCATCTCTACTAAAAAAGACTGCCTCAGATTTTGGTCCTTGTGCAAAGTTCATGAAGCCACATGAGAAAATTGACAGACTAACAAAAAAAAAAGAATTAATGCTAGGAATGATTCTTTTTAACATACCTATATAAATACATCACTTTATCTAGTGAGGCTGCCTTTATAAATACTAAATGTAAAAATAATCACTGCTATAGTTACATCAGAAGAATGACCCAGGAAAAAGAACTAGTTCATAACATCTGCCCATTCCATTCTCCTGCTGACACACTTTGGATAGAAAGGCAATTCACTTTAATGAAAAAAAAATATGCCAATCAATTACTTGCACTTCCTTCTGAGGTCCAAATAGTACCTTAACTCAAACATAGTAATAGCTTGAGCTGTCTCTTTGTGTGAACTTGATGTCAGGCTTTCAGCAACAAAGAAATTCTCCCCAAGTAATTTTAGCAGAATTTACTCTTTTCAACTTCTTTACATTTTGCAGCTGGCCAACACATTATAGAAAGGTTCTAAAAATGCCAATGTGAGGATCCATTTTTATTGTCTTTCCAGATCAAACAGACCCAGTTGGTAACCTACAAACAAAACATGGATTTTCAAAGCCCAGCTGGGCTCTATTTGGCTCGTACTTCAAAAACAATTAAAAAAATAAAATCCTGAATTCAAAATGTTTTTAGACTATTCAGCAAATGATGCAGAAAACACCACAGAATACTGATCACCATGATACAGTGACTGTAAATTGCTTACAAAGATAAATGGCAACGAGTTGTGCAAACAGAATTACAATAATGCGAATACAGAGAAAGAAATGAATTAGACAAAACAGTATAATTTTTATGCAGACACTTTTTTAGAGTGGAGCTGAAGTTAAAAATTTGAAATTTCTAATGAATTACACAGATATGACAGCTGGACTGAGCTTTTAGTGTAATTGGTCTTGGGGGGAAAAACTATAAATACAACATTTGTAGATGCTCTAGTTTGACAGGTTACTTAAGCATGTGCACTTGTACTTGAAGCACATACACAGTTGCACTAATTTCTGCATAGCTTTCATATACCTCAAATGGGGCACATATTGAAGCACATTCTTGAATGAGACAGAGCATTGCACATACTTCAGAGTCCACGGCCCACTGCTGCAATCCCACACTAAAGCCTCTATGAAGCCAAATCTGCTTCTGTTAGCTATGTGACTAGGTCAGAAGGAAGAGCAAGATAATAGCCTATAACTGTGTTATGATCTTATATTTTTTTAATTATACACATTGCCAAAGAGTAGGAAACAGTGTAATTTTTATTGGAAAGCCTCTATAAATCAGACTATCACAAATATCATCTTTTATTCCTACTGTCTCCAATGGCTTCCTGGCTCTCGGTAAACTCTTCAAACAGTATCTGTCTAATTTATTACTATACGTGCTCCACATATGCTGCTGGTGGCCTAGACAGAGGATTCAAAGATTCTTGTAACACACTAATTCGGCAGGTTTTCTGCAGAGGGCACAGCACCAACCTAAAATTGAGTATGGCTTATATGTGCTGCCCTGTCCCTTTGCTTGCATTGCAAGGAGGAATGAAGTAACATTTATGCCCAGCGTGGAGATTTGTACTTTCCTTGCCACACTACCATCTGCAACTCGGGCTCAAAATATCTAGTTTATCTTCGAAATAAATGGAAACAAACTATCTCTGTGCTCAGTGAACTATATACTGCTCATTCCTCTCGGTTCCTCACCAGATCACAGGAAGGAGGACCAGGTCCTATGCTAAACTAAATTTCACAAGCGAGACTGCAACAAGAGCTCCACAATTCCTGGTGATCCATGTGTCCATGCATGGCTGTGTATTTTAATGCAAGCACAAAGCTGGTCTGAGCCTCATGCTTAGCTTGCGATGTGTACAAGTCCATCCATGCTTTATCACTGGATGTAGTGGTAGTAGTAGTAATTCTATATTGAAAGCCTGATAGTTTTGGACAGTCTTCTAGTCCAAATAATGCTTTCTGTAAATATCTCTTAATTCTCTCCTGTTAACATTTTTAAATACATATACGACTAAGACAACAAGTCAGTATGTCATATACTCCAGAAAAGGAATGAACTGCACTTGTACAGGACATTAATCTCTGGACTATAGCACTATTGTCTTGCTTTCTTTTTCTGGCCCAGTAAATCCAATACTTCCAAAAATAACTAATTTTGGCTTCAAAATAATGAAGGAATGAGGATTATAAATTTGGAAGTGGTTTTCATTGTTACTGAGCCTTTAATATAGGCATGTCTAAGTTTCATAATGAGGACCCAAGAGCAGCTTGCAGAAATCATAAGAAAAATGCTAGCTATAATGAAATGCAAACACAATGTGATATTTGCTAATCCTGTCCTTCAAAAACATTATGTATCTTTTGTAGTTAAATCTATCAGGAAAAAAATCGCCTAAAGACTGTAGACATCTAAGGATACATGTGAAGTCCCTAACTATACTTTTATTCACACACACATCATAATTCAATTAATGAAATATTTTTGGATTTCACTCAGTGTTCTGATTTATGTTTCAATAGTTTAAACTGATCATTATGTGCCAAGCATACAGATTTGCTTCCCACAGTTAACACACTGGGTGCTCAGACTTGCCTGCTGGCTAACACTACTTATTGCAGAAAATATTCCAGAATAAATATTGTACCCACTTTAAATGCTTTCCATAACAAGTTTTATTTACTTTGTAAGTGGAACAAATAGCAAAACCTTCCTGCTAGCAGCTGATGAAGGGATGCAACTGGGACGTACTATCTGGAGAGCCAACTAACAGTGATTGGTGAGGGTTTGAACTCAAAATAAACAACTACTTGCTTGAATAATTGCATATCCAAAAACCAGAACGGATTTTAATCACATCTAAATTTCATTTAAGCTTCTTTTAAACAACTTTTTACAGAGCACTTCTCCCTCCTGTGAGACTCTTCTTGTATTTTTTTAATAAACTGTAACTTTATATTTTGGTGTTTATCCTGACCTCACTTCTTAATCTACCATCAGCTAAATAAAACACAATAACATGTGTATATACATTCAGATCAGACGTAAATTTACAACTTCAAATAGTTAAGCAAAGGTAAAAGAATATTTCAAGGAGATAAACTATCCTACGGACTGAAAATAAAATGAATGTTATAGGATCAACAGGGAGGAAAGCAAAAAACATTGCTAATAAAAATGAAAAATACTACACCATGCCAACATACAAACTAAAGCATTCCAAAAAGAAAGAAAAGCTATGCTTTTCCTCATTTCAGGAAAAGCTAGTGAGGCAGGAGGTAATATAAAAGCCAAATAAATCTGAAAATAACATAATTAAATCCATTTATTTAATTTCTCTTTCAGGAATGATTGGCCAATGTGTATGTCTAACCATTCCCTCTACCGGGTAGAATCACAATCTGAGCCCCAAAGGATAAAAAGACTCTGACAGCTTAGGCTACAGTACCCATTGTATCATACTACTTCCACTTCTACCATGAAGACTTGGAATAATCATAGTGATTACTTGGGAGTCTTAACTGTAGATTGGCAGCAATTCAAAGCTATGCTATAATTTCAAGTGGCAATAAACACAGGATATTAACATGCATCATTTGCACTGTGTCTGAAATATAACTCCCTCCCCTCAGCTTAAGTCCGATCAAAATGTAAACTCAAGGCAAATTTGATCTTAATCAGCACTTTCTCTAAAACAAGGCAATCTTCTAATGTATTACAATCGCGCTGTCTCTTTCAGCTTCAGCAACTGGTCTTAATTGTAATTGTACCTTTTATTTTCCTTTCTGTTTCTCTAGTAATAAAAAGGGAAAAAAAAGTCAAAATGTCCATCATGAAGAAACTTGTAGACTCACAGCATCTGATTTGCCACTGGAGGTTTCTGCAGCAAGCGGTAAGAGAGATGAGACACACCAATTTTTAATTCTATAATCCTGCATATGGTCAGAAAAGCAAGACACCTCACATGCCCCAGCACTCTAAGCTGACCTCGAAGGAAGAAACTAGGTGGAGTAAGAAATCAAAGCACAGAAACTCTTAATTTAAGCACACAGAAGTCGTACACTGAGAGGCCAAGCCACCTACACCTGCTCAGTCATCTCCAGTACACTGAACTCCCCCTGGACATAGATGATTTGTCCATGGGAATTCAATCCTCAAGAGTGCTGGACTCACTCCAGCCAAAATTTTAACAATGAAAATCTATGAACCATCTGCACTAAGGTCAAACAATTTCCATTAAGAACATGTAATGTTAACACCTAGATGACAGGTCTTAGCTAAACTGGAGACAAGGCTGCTGCGCACAGGGCAGCACCAAACTCCTAGTGATACCATCCCATAAACCCACATACCTATAAGAGTTTTGAAAAGAAAGTACTGCCAAACTCAGCTGTATTCACAGAGCTTCACAATATTGCAGTCATACCCTCAACATTTTTCAGATTAAGTAACTAACTCACTTATTTTTCTGTTTTCATAATTTACATTATTTATGTGTTATTAGATATGCTTCGTTGATACAGAAATTACTGTAGCTCCTGGTTCCAATTGTAAATGAGATGTTGCTTCTCAAACAGCATTCATAAAACATACAAAATGGACTGCCAAGGGTTATGATTTTTATCTTGGATGGCATGAAAGACCTGGTAACTCAAGAATGGCAGAGCTGCAGAGTGAAATATAGTCCCTTTACTCACAAAGTG